TATTATATATATATAGTATATATATATATATATATATATATATATATAGTGTGTGTGTGTGTGTGTGTGTGTAGTAGTATATATATATATATATATATATATATATATATATATGGGGGTTTATATATATATATATATATATATATATATATATATATATATATATATATATATATATAACATATAATTGGGATATCATTCTATTGTAATTATGTAATTTTCTATCCAACTAGTCTTGCATTGATACATAATGATTAACTCGAATTAAGACGAACACAATTCTTCATTTAAACAATCAAATTAATAGTAAGCACGCAACACATGCCAACAAATCATACCTGAGTGTTATGCCTGGGATAGTCTGTGGGCAGCGGCAGAAAAGGTGGGGAGGACAAGTGGTCCTTCCAGAACTGCAGCAATTCAGGGTCGGCTTCTGCTGTGGTTGCCAAGGCATCGGCCACTGCATGTTGATTGGCGTTGGGAGGCATAGCGATGATTTATCGTAGATGTATGTTATTTCGTATTTATCTCACACGCGGCGGTAGGCTATTCAATACCTATCTGACAGTGCATAAATATACCAGAGAATATAGAATAAATATCTCTACATGTAGTCAATAAGTATTTAAATATAATAATGACGTCGACACGCATGAACACTATTATATTTATTAGACCATATTTATATTTGATACAAAAACCATAGCCCTCATTTTTATATATATTTTTTAAAATATGCGCCTAAAAACGGACTTGCGTAGTTGAGGCCCTGGGCCTGAGGATGGGGGGAGTGGGGACTGGGAACTGGGGACTACAAACCCAAAAATTAGAAATAAAAAAATATGAATAAATAATGTAAATATGTAAATATGTAAATACATACACTGGACGCATTTTGAATTTTCTTCTAAAAAATGGCATATGTATTTCTATTAGTCATTCTATTTCAGCGAGAAGTTTTTTCAACCAGAGACAAGTAACAACCGCAGTCACAACACCAGTCAATCACAGCTATTTCTGATTGCGATCGGATGGAATGAACGTGGAACTACTCAATTGATGTCACGCCCCTTCTATAAATAGACGTGAACGGGGTCATGCAATTAATATAAAAATATATACATAAATATATGTCTATATTTCAATTTGATAGGGGTCAATATTTCATACATACGTACTATGTGCGTGTGTCATCACCCACTTCAATTTTTTTAACTGATACGTACAGATGAATATTAAAAATACATGCATATTTTTATTGAAAATTAAACTATGTATGTACTTATCAGTATGTACACATACAGTCATACATAAACGGCAATACATACTTAAATACATATCAAATACGCACACTACTGTAAATGAAGTAAAAAGTATGTATCCAGCATATATAATTATAAGCTGTAAATGAATATGAAGACAATTACATTCCAAGGTTATTTGGCAGAGCGTGTAAATTCATATATTTACTCGGTATATATTTGCTGGTGGTAGCAACGTGAAGCTTACATTATTGATTAAAAACTGGGAGGTTTGAGAATAATAAAGCCCAAAAAAATGGTATTACATCAGCATCATAAGATATGGAAGGCAACAATACCAGCTACTTAAAAAGACTGTATGTATATATATATATATATATATATGTGTGTGTGTGTGTGTACATATATATACATATATATATATATATATATATGTGTGTGTGTGTGTGTGTGTGTCTATATTNTATATATATATATATAGTGTGTGTGTGTGTGTGTGTAGTATATATAT